TCCATTTTCTCCATAGTTTCCTATATTTTCTTAACATATTAATCATAGTTACTGAAAGTACTTGTCAGCTAAATAAAACTGAACGATACAGATCATCTCTGGGTCTGTTATTAGTTGTTTTCCCTTTTGTTCCAGTCATGGACTCCTGTCCTTCGGTGGCTCCATAATCTTTGATTATGTAAAAACTTGCAGAGATTCTTGATTAATGTTCTCTGTCTCCACAGAGGGTTCAGCCTTCTCTCTGTTAGGCCACTAAACAGATTAGGTGGCTGCCCTGGTAAGATTCAGTCTACCTGTGGTTTTTTCTTGCCACCTAAGGTTTCAACTGAAAGCTTGTTAAGGGGCCTGGTCCAAAGAGGGTGACAAATTTTCATCTTACAAAAATACTATAAGCTCCACTCCTGATTTTCAAAGATTTCCTGCTTAGGGTTTTAAGTATCTCATTCCAGGTAGCCTCAGGATTCAACAAATGTACTGAGGGAAGAATCTCCTTCAGTTGATGCACCCTAGGTCTTCACCAAAAGCTCTGTGCAGTTTTTTCCTGTCTTTTAGCAACAGTACTGCTAGTCCTAATGTTTGTTTGAATCCTCAGTTTCCTTCCCACACTTTACATAAGTAAGTGTCCCCTCAGTAAAAGTTCTTGGAGAAGTAAACTCACCTCTGCAAGATTCTCCCTTCTTCAAAAGTTTGGTCCCTGTATTTGTTGCCTGAGCAGTCCCCTGCTATGTTCAAACAGGCTTTCCTAGTTTTCACTGAGGGCACTGGTCTGAAACTAGTTTCCTGGATCCCACCTGGATGGCTAGATACCATTTTAATCTATGTATGAGTTTTCAAAATTGACTTTTATAATATCTAAAAGTTACATAAAATGTTCTCAAGTTATTTATTAGGGCTAAACTGAAATGGATTAAAGAGAAGGTAGATCATATAATTACCACTGGAGACTCAGAAGGGTCTCCAAAGTGCTATTATTAGTCTTCTTCAATATGAGCTAATAAACATTGTAACCATACAGAATAAACCAAAGTGATCATCACATCTATCTCTGTGAAAAGAATGGACCCTCATAAAAAGCTAATAATATTAGTTTACTAAACTATTGGTAGGATACTTGTAAAAGTTCCTGTCCAATTTCTTCTTTAGAGGGTGAGAAAAAAAGACATTCCAAATAGAACAGGGTAGGGGATAGGAATAGCTGCTCTCCTATATTACAATATTGTAAGTATTTCAATACTGGTATACCTATAAAACCCTTAAAATTGTGAAACATGATGAACAAAGAGGCTTCAGACTTTCAAAGAGTGTGACTAGTTTTTTTCTTTTGTTTTTATTCTGGTTTGTTGCAAAATGTTGCAAGTACTTAAAAATTGAAAAGGATGCATTTTTACACATATAGATTTAAAACAATATAAAATTTTCTAAGTCTTGAGACAAGTGGAAAAAATTTCTATAACTTCTAAAAAACCAACTGTATACCCCAAATTAAAAGTTAACTAATGTATTAGTCAAAAATATTTCCAACAAATATGATAAGCAAAAGGTTAAGTCCCTGTATATAGTTTACTAGGGCTACTGTAACAGAACAACAGACTGAGTGGCTTCAAAACAGAAATTTATTTTCTCATGATGCTAGAGGCCAGAAGTCCAAGATGGTGTTGGCAGCATTGGTTTCTTTTCAAGGTCTTTATCATTGCCTTGTAGAAGGCTATTTTCTCTCTGTGTCTTCCTATGTGTGTGTCTGTGTCCTAATCTCCTCTTCTTATAAGGACACCAGTCATATTGGATTAGGCCCACACATATGAACGTATGTTCCCTTAATTACCTTTTTAAAAGGCCCTATCTCCAAATATAGTCACATTCTGACATACTAAAGTCT